ATCCTTATGCCAGAGAGGCATATTTTGGGGTGGCATACTCCGAACTCCTAGTTGATACCTAGAATATTCCTTTTCTCATACTCAATCATTGCTAATTGTCTTGTACCCTGACACACAGACTTACTTATCAGGCCTCATGCAGGCTCAAGACGATCACATCCCAAGAATCATGCTGAGGGCCACTACCATGATTAAAACCTTATAATAACAATATAATAATAATAATAATAGTAATAGCTAATATGTATTGAGTATTTACATTATGCCAGGCATTGTTCTAAAGTGTTTTACAGGTAGTTACACCAACCCTATTAGGTAGGTACTATTACAAGTCCCATTTTATGGATAGGGAAACTAAGGCTTAGAGTGTGTAAGTAACTTGGCCATGATCCCACAGCTAGAAACTAGAATTTCACCACAGGCAGTCAGGCTCTAAAATCCATACATTCACTGAGCAAATGTTTCTGGGGTACCTATTTTGTGCCAGGCACTCTTCTAAGCACTTAAGATACATCTGTGAGCAAAACCTACGAAGACCTTTGTCCTTATGGGGCTTACATATTAGTTAAGGGAGATAGACAAAAAATGATAAGCAGATTTTATGGTATGTTAGGAAATGATATATGTAATGATAAAAATAAGAAGAGTAGGGCGCCTGGGTGGCTCAGTTGGTTAAGCGACTGCCTTCGGCTCAGGTCATGATCCCAGGGTCCTGGGATCGAGTCCCACATCGGGTTCCCTGCTCGGCGGGAGGCCTGCTTCTCCCTCTCCCACTCCCCCTGCTTGTGTTCCTGCTCTCTCTGTCAAATAAATAAATAAAATCTTTAAAAAAAAAAAGAAGAAGAAGAAGAGTAGAGTAAGGGGGAGCAGAAGTATAAAGGGTGATGAGGTTAGTTGCAATTTTAAGAAGGATATCAGGGTAGATCTTTCTAATTTTCAGTTATAATTTATTTATTTATTTATTTAAGATTTTATTTATTTATTTGACAGAGAGAGAGACAGCGAGAGAGGGAACACAAGCAGGGAGAGTGGAGAGGGAGAAGCAGGCTTTCTGCAGAGTAGGGAGCCTGATGCGGGGCTCGATCCCAGGATCCCGGGATCATGACCTGAGCCGAAGGCAGATGCTTAACAACTGAGCCACCCAGGTGCCCCTAATTTTCAGTTATAATTTAAAAATATTTCATAAATGCTTAAAATTTAAAATATATTATTTTATTTTTTTCCCAATGTAGGTAATACTTACATAAAATATATTTTTTATTTTAAAGATTTTATTTTTGAGTAATCTCTGCACCCAATGTGGGGCTCAAACTCACAATCTTGAGATCAAGAGTCACATGTTCTACTGACTGAACCAGCCAGGCACCTCTAAAATGTAAAATATTTTTAAAAGATGAAAAATACAAAGGATCATAAACCAAATATCCATATTCTCATCACCCACAATTTGACAGATACTAACATTTTTTTTAAATTTTTATTTATTTATTTATTTGAGAGAGAGAATGAGAGAGAGAGAGCATGAGAGGGGGGAGGGTCAGAGGGAGAAGCAGACCCCCCGCTGAGCAGGGAGCCCGATGTGGGACTCGATCCCGGGACTCCAGGATCATGACCCGAGCCGAAGGCAGTCGCTTAACCAACTGAGCCACCCAGGCGCCCGACAGATACTAACATTTTGAAATGCTAACAGAGACTAACATTTTGAAATATTTATATCAGAATTTTCAGAACTATAGCACTGTAGAAATCATAAAACTCCTGCCCCACCCATCCTATTCCTCTCCATGCCCCCCAAACAATTTACTGAAATTGATATGCATCCTACCTAATTATATATTTATACTTTTACTATATATGTACAGATTCATTAAAAACACATAGACTAATTTGATATATTTTTAAAATTTGTGTGAATATCATTCCTATCACTTTTTCTTCTCAGTTTTATATTCTGGGAAACTATTTATGTTCTATGTGTACATCTAGTTCATTCATTTTTAATTTCTGTATAATATTCCATTGTACAAATAAGTAAGGCCTACACTCTCCCCTTCTCCTCTAGTGGCCCAATACATATCCTCTTACTTTTTACATTAAGCTTTAGAATAAAAAACATTTAGAACTTGAATGAACTTTAAAGAACGTGTAGACCATGGGGAAATAGAGAGGTTGTGTCCTCTCAAGGTCACATAGCCAATCAATGGAAAAAATGGAATTAGAATTTGGTAGCCTGATCCCCAGCACAGCACTCGTGCAACTTCCACAGCATTACATTTCAATTCTAGAAATCTATATAAAACTGTATATAGAACCTTCTCTATATAACTGTCTATATCCATGTCCTATGTAAAAATAACATAATAGTAGAAAAGAGAACAAAACATTTAAGTTTTCCAGGAATAATAAAACTATTAAACTATATAAACTGTGGTTTTAACACAGCATAAGTAATATTGTAATGATTATAATAGTTCTTTTCCCACAGTCTGCTATGTATTTTTTTAATTAAATGCTCTTATTCTAATTCAGACAACAGCCCTGTGAATCAGATATTAATTTTAGGAAATACGTCTCACTCAATGTGGAAGAAGTATGGCAAGGCAAGGAATGACCCAAGGCCAGAATGCCATTGAGGAAGCTACTGTGGTCCTCCTGGAGAGAGGTGCTGATGGCCCGGACTAGGCAGTAACGAAGGAGAGTGGATAGATTTGAGAACTATTTTGGATAGATTGTACCTGGGGTCCAGGGATGGGATCTGTGTCATCTCTATTCCCAGTTGCTGCCTACATTTTTGCCCATTTCCCTGCTGATTTGAATCCATGCATTAGGGCTATGCCACACCTTTTCCCCTTCCTCAGCATCATCTGCTAACTTCCTAGTTGTTCCTCATCATTCACCAGAGGCTTCAATATATGACTAAGAGTCTTCCTCTACTTCAGTTCCTGCCACTTCCAAGGTGATGTGAGTGTTCCTGTGGCACCTCATCTAAAAATCTGACCTCTCAGTTCTGACCTTCTCAGCTCTGATGACATTCTCCCTCACCCTACTTTAGCCAACCAACCTTCCTTATCATTACTTCTGCAATCATCACATCAAACACCCCATTTTCTTTCTTTCTTTTTTTTTCAGCACGAAAAAGTGTTTTTATTAAAGCACAGGGACAGGACAGAGCTTCTTGGCATGGCAGAAAGAGCTTCTTCAAATACCCCATTTTCTTTCTACAACCTTCTGTTCTAGTCAGATTCTCAGGCACCCCTAGTTTACCTATTCTTCAACCTCATTGGAACTACCAACCCATTGGCCCTTCCCTTCTTTTATCAGTCCATTCTTATATTTCTAGCCCTTTTTTTTCCAGCATAGAGCCCATGTTTGTTTGTTTGTTTTTAATTTCAATAGTTTGCCAACTAGTATCTTGAACGTCTTTGTCTCTTGGCCTTTCTATCACATCTACCTGGAAAAATTACAGCCATGAATGGATCCAATCATCATCCTTCCCACCTTCTCTGTGCCAAGCCAGCTGAGCATTAACAAAGAAAATCACAAAAGAGCAGAAATTGGTATCTCTATTCATGGTTGTCAACCTCAACTGGGTGGCTCCCAAAACTTTAGGACAATCTTTTACATTTTACTACTTTCCTCAATGACAGTTTCCTACTGTCCCCACCTTTCTCAACTCTGATTCACTTCCCCAGTCCCCAGCACCTTCTCAGATAATTCTTTTGGGGGGAAACTATAGCCTCATACTTCACATAGAAGAAATTCCTTCAGAATTCTACCATTGAATCTATAACTCTGATTGCTTTTGCACCAATCTTCTCTTATTTCCACCTGAATCAATGAAAAACACGTGTCTTCTCCCTTTCTAGCATCATCTGTGCTCGGATCCTATCCCTTCCCATTGCACAGCCTCATTCTATTGGATTATCCCTCCCAAATATTGTATTTTTGATTTAGTACTTTGCAACATCTTTCAATCGTGTTCTAGACTCTTTTGTGTTAAAATTATTAAAAAAAATCCTAATCGCCATAACCAGCTTCATCCCTGAGGATTCTGTTCTAGTGTCCTTTCCACTTAGGAGGTTCCCCTGGCACACCTGTTTGTACTCAATGCTGATTTTCTATGCTTGCAGGGCACATGCCTCTGTCCAAGTATCTCTCATACTGTGTGTTGAGTTCAGTATACAACTGGCCTGGGAACTGATTAAAGGCAGACACTGTATCTTATTAATCCTTGGAACCTAGCGAAGTGCTCTGTGGGCACCGTGCTTCAGTGAGTGAGGTAGAGAGATCTCTTGGGCTCACAGGTGTAATGTTCTTAGGAGTATGGGGTATAGCTGCACGGCTGACTGGAATGATGGATGACTGACTAGGGAAGGATTCAGAGCCCTTCCATCCGCCACCTCATTGAGAAAGTTAAGGGTGAGTTGTGGAATTAAATAGTTCGGGAAAATCTATCGGAGATAGACCAACGGAGAATCTCAATATCTCCACACTGCCTGCAATCTTCATGCCCAATTTCTTTTCACTTTTATTTTATCCCCTTCTTACCTCCTCCTCTACTATTTTCTACTTTCTTCCTCAATGTTTCTGAAGAAAAAAAGGAGCAATATTGATTTTCTGGCTCCTTCATATGACCTCTATCTTCTTGCGTCCCTTGGTCTCCGTCCCACTACTTTTTTTGCACCCTGTCGCTGATTTTCCCCTTCGGTATGAAAACCAATTTCCTGTCTGTGTGGTTGTGTTCTGGGGCTTCCAGCAGAGGGGTGGTGGGTGAATAATACTCCTGGCGGGAGTCCTTAGATCATACAGAGATAACGAGTTTTGTACCGGACAGCAGATGACGCTCGGCTCAACACTTCCTACTCGCCTCGGCCTCCGGGGCCGCACGAGCCCTGCGGGATCCCGGGACGAGGCTCCGCCCCGTCGGCCGCTGACCGGGATTGGCTCCCAGGGGCCGGCCCCTGGCCAATCAGGCGCGGGGGCGTTGCCCCCGCCTCGCTTCCAGCGGCGCGGGGTGCAGGCGGCCCAGAAGCGACCCTTCTTTGCTCCGGGTGGGTGGTGCCCTTCGTCTCCCGACCCAGAGGTCCAGGCGGGACATGGCCACGGCCACTGTGGCAGCAGCAAGACGAGGCTTCTGCCGAGCCCGTCCACTCCTCCTCCGGCGCGGTTACCAGACGGAGAAGGGCGTCTATGGCTACCGGCCGAGGAAGCCCGAGAGCCGGGAGCCCCGGGGCGGCCTGGCGCGCCCTCCAGGTCTGGGATAGGGCCGGGATCGTGGGCGCAGGGTCCGGGGAGGCACGGGGCCTCCCCGACAGGCCTGAAGTGGGGTGCTGTTGTCGGGGAGGTCGGGCTTCTGGGGTCTGCAAAGTGTGCTCAGGCGGGTGGGGAGTAAGGGGAGGTGAGGGGCCCAAGGGAGGCGGGCATGGGTGTTGCTAGGGTCAGGGTCATAGTCTGTCCAGCCGACTCGGTAGCTGGGGAATCTTGAGGTCGAGGTGTCGGCCTTGGTTCCACGCTTGGGTGATCTTCCCAGCGTTCGTGTTCCGACTGGTTTTGTGAGCCCTTGTCTTTTCTATTCCTTGGATGTAAACTTTTGGAAACTTAGCTCATTGCGAAGGCGGGGCGGCGGAGAAAAAAAAACTCCCAGCTCCTCGAGTTTACTCAAAGATACACTTCCAAGGCCATCTCGAAGGCTCGTGTGAGCAGAATGTGTGGGGATCACGACTGTACTGCGAGGGTGAAGGGGGCAGTTAGTTGGTGGTCTTGGACCACAGCATGGTATTAATTATTTGTCTCCCTGACCTAACTAGCCTTTAACTTTAATTTCAGAGTTTTAAACTCCTTTCTGAATTTAGAAGTATGTTACTGGTGCTTTTAATGGATTAGGAGACATGAATATCAGTTCTTGAGACCTCTCTTTGCATGCTCATGTGCAAGAGACCTATTTTGGGTATTTGGTTTATGCTGCAAAACTGTCTATGTTTTCTTTTCTTTTTTTTTTTTTTTTAATATTTATTTATTTATTAAAGAGAGAGAACGCTGCTGGCGCTGGTGAGTGAGGGGAGGAGCTGAGGGAGAGAATCTTCTAGCAGACTCCTCCTGAGTGTGAGCCTGCTTCCTGGGGCTCCATGACCCATGAGATCATGACTGAGCCACCCAGGTGCCCCCAAAGTTGTCTATATTTAATCCTCATAGAGTAGAAGATGAATACAGACTGATTATTAGAGGAAGATCATTTGGCATCTTCAATCCAGCTATTAGGTTAACAATGAAGATCCTCTTCATCATATAAGAACCCGAACTTTGAATCTTATATTATGTATTGGGACCTCAGTATTTTGCTCTTGACCTCAGGGGATGTTAATAGTAAACCTGATTTCTGTCTCTTGGATGCAGTGGGATTTCTTTAGGGAAAGCATTTTGGCCAACTAGTAATCCCATGAGGGTAAGACTACTGATGTCTTCTTTCACTTTGCAAATCAAGTGTCAAGAATTTTATATGTCAATTATTCTCAAACATTTAAGTGTATATTCAAATCATTTTGAGATGATTTTTAAAATGCCAGTTCCTGGGGAGCCTGGGTGGCTCAGTCAGTTGAGCATCTGACTCTTGATTTTGGCTTAGGTTGTGATCTCAGGGTCATGAGATGGAGCCCGGCATGGGGCTCCAAGCTCAGCAGGGAGTCTGCTGGAGGTGCTATCCCACTCCCTCTACCCCTACACCAGCGTGCTCTCTCTCTCTCTCAAATAAATAAATCTTTAAAAAAATAAAATGCCAGTTCCCAACCATCCCCCCACCCCAGGGTTCTAATTCAGTGGTCTGAGATCTGGTTCAAAAATACAGATTTTTATCAGGCATCCCAGGTTGATTCTCTAGCAGAAAGTCCATAGCCAGCTATGGCCAAATACTGTTATAGTTTTAAGGGATGTCTATATAGGACATGTTTGACAATCTCTTCTTCATTTAAAATCATATTAGTGTGTACTCAGTACACAATTACTGTGATCTTGTTTAAGATTTTCTCTCACAGTTGGGTCTCTATTTGATTTTTTTTTTAAGATTTTATTTTTAAGTAATCTCCACATGCAAACATGGGGCTCGAACGTATAGCCCCATGATCAAGAGTTGCATACTCCAGGGACTGAGCCAGCCAGGCGCCCCTCTATTTGATTCTTAATAACAGCCTGATAGCTGAAAACAGCCTTGCCTTGGAAAAACCTGGGCCAGTGTTTTTGTTTTGTTTTGTTTTTAAGATTTTATTTTTATTTATTTATTTGAGAGACAGAGATAACGAGAGAGAGCACAAGCGGAGAGGAGAGGGAGAAGCAGGCTTCTGCTGAGCAGGGAGCCCAACGTGGGGCTCGATCCCAGGACCCTGGGATCATGACCTGAGCCAAAGGCAGACGCTTAACCAACTGAGCCACTGAGGCATCCCATGGGCCAGTGGTTTTTAACTGGAAGACTGTATCCAAATCATCTTGGGAGCTTTGGGCTGGTGTGGTTTGAAAATTATCTCTGGGGTTGATTTTGTATATAAACCCTTTCCTCCCCTTCATCACCAAATTTTCCCCACCCCCAGTAATGAATTTGCTCTACTGTGAGGTGCTTGGTGACCTTTGAAAAGTTCAGTATTGAGTTGGAACTGCAGGCCAATGGTGGCCTCTTGTGGTAATGGGAGGCAAGAGTGAAATCAGTGCCTGGGAGCAATTGTTGCATGGTTATAGGATCTAGCTTAAGGAATTTTGTTGCTAAGGGCAATAATTTTCTTTTCATTCTTCTTATCTTTTAACTACTCTGAATAAAACTGAAAGGCAAGTGGGCAACCCTGCAACTTTCTTCAAAATTACCGTTGCATGCAGATCTTTGGCAGGTTTTTCTTCTCTCTGTTTCAGAATTTACTCCATTATTTTGTAGTGACTCTGTAGATCACTATCTCCTACTAGGCTGGGTAGGAGAAAGGGGGAGGAGAGTTGGGTCTATCGCTTCGTGTAGCATCTCCCTGGCCAGAACTTCGTCAGTATATATCTGCGAAGGAGACTGGAAAGCATAATTTTTAAAAAATTTATTTGTCAGAGAGAGAACACAAGCAGGGGGGAGCGGCAGGCAGAACAGACAGAGAGAGAAGTAGGCTCTCCACTGAGCAAGGAGCCTGAAATGGGGCTCGATCCCAAGACCCCGGGATCATGACCTGAGCTGAAGGCAGATGCTTAACAAACTGAGCCACCCAGGCGTCCCTGGAAAGCATAATTTTTATTTAGGGTGGCCAGGTACTAGCTAAAAATTATGTGGGGAAAATATTGGGAAAAAAGCTAGTAATCACTGCACTCCACCCCTCTGACCACTCAAATAACCTAAGCTTTTCTTCCCATACATAGGATGCATTCACCTCCTTTCTCCTCCTTTCGGTTCTTGACTCCATCTCAAAGTCTCTTATGTCCGGAGAATGTAGAGTCCTCTCTGTCAGGGCTGGCCGGGTCTTTTCATGCTCTGGAATTTTATGAACTGCCACACACACCCTATGGACACATTCAATATACAAAGAAAACTCTCATCTGGGAAAGGAAAGAGGGAACTACAGCAGTCACTATTCAAACCAGTTATCAAATCCTGTTGGAGGGGAATGATAAAAGCTCCTTGATGTGGAACTTTGTTGTAAGTTCACTACAGGCCCCTGGCTTTGCCTTCTGTCTTCCTTTATCCGTTGTCCTCTGTGGCCATCTCTGACGTGAGCATTGGGGAGTGTGCCATCCTTGGGGGCTGCATACCTTCCATAGCCTACTTTATTTTGGTAAGGTTAGGAGCCTGAGAGTTATTTTTGGGGTCATCAATTACAGGCATTTTCTATGACCAGAACGGGGATTTGTTTGGCAGTACGATTTTCTTTTTCTTTCTTTCTTTTTTAAGGTTATTTGTTAATGTGAGGGGGGAGGGGCAGGGAGGGAGGGAGAGAGAATCCTGAAGCAGACTCCCTGCTGAGCGCGGGATTCCATCCCAGGACCCTGAGATCCTGACCTGAGCCGAAATCAAGAGCCAGTCGCTCAACCGACTGAGCCACCCAGGCGCCCAGCAGTACAATTTTCTTGTAACAGTCATAGGTCTGCAGTCTTTTTGCCTGTGGTCATTCTATGAGCAAATTGCCTTCAGTCAAAGATCTTATCTAGACCTACTTTTTAAGCCTTGAAACCTCTGGTCTTTTATTTACTGCTTCTGTGCCCTACCCACTCAGCTCCCTAAACTTAATGTGCTTACCTTGAGACCATCTAAAATAATAGTGGGAAGGCAACACCCTTTATTGGACCTTGCAGGCTCAGCTGGCTCCCATTGTCTAACAGTGTGCTTTCTAGAAGGTACTTGAAGAAGGGTTTGCCTGTTCTCTTACCTCCTGCTGAGGCAGCCTCTTCTGAACCACCTTTTCTTTCTTTCTTTCTTTCTTTTTTTTTTTTAGATTTTATTTATTTATTTGAGAGAGAGAGAGAGAGAGAACAACCTGGGGGGAGGGGGAGAGGGAGAGGCAGACTCCCTGCTAAGCAGGGAGCCCCACATGGGGCTTGATCCCAGGACCCCAGGATCATGACCTGAGCCAAAGGCAGACGCTCACTTAACCGACTGAGCCATCCAGGTATCCCTTGAACCGCCTTTTCTAAGTGCTTCTAATTTCCCAAACTTGCCAGGATCTGCCTTCTAGGTACAGAGGCCTCCTGTTAGCAGAGCTGAATTTCCCTCCATCTCTTCTTGTTTGATCTCCCTTGACCTCATCTTTCTCCCCGGGCTTTCCTGAAAGTGACAAGAAACTGATCACATGCTACTAAGCTACAGCCCCATGGACATAAGTCTGCCCACAGGATATCACAGGGGACAGTTTCACTGCGTGTTTTGTCAGACAGCAGAACACAGTGCTCATTAGCTTTCTAGTCTGAAATGTCTGGTCCCTGGCACCCACTGTCGGACTGCTAAGCCAACGTCATATGTATTTTAGGCTCTGTTATGGTAGCCACCCACCTCGGGTACCAAATTGTGTGTTAGATAGGATAAGTCCAAGGGCCATGTCAGAGACCTGGAATAACAGTGACTTAAGTAAGATGACCAAAGGTCTGAGCTGTTACAGCTGCTTTGCTCTGCAAAGCCATATGGGGTTCAAGCTCCTTCTGTGTTGTTTCTTCATCATCCTGTGGGTGTTGCTCTCTACTCTGGTCCGGAATGGGTCACCATTGCATCCACAGACTGGCCAGTAGGACAGAGGAAAGGGGGGAGAAGA